TTCTACCTAATGTAAACACCATGCTATTAGGATTGTTGTGATGTTCATATTCTCTTTGAACTTAATGGGTTCTCCTTGTAATTGAATCGAAGTACGAACCATACCTAGGTTCGGTTATGGGGAGGGCACAAGTATTGTAGCACGAACCATGCACTTTACGTATATTAGAGAGAATCAATGCGTCTTGAGCTACGACCCATGGTCTTGATTGCGAACATCTTCATCAACACATTTAGAGTTCATCACTTGAGTATTCATGAACTTTGGTAGAATTGTTTAGGGTGGATTCCGAAACCCTAGTGTTTGTTACATTTTAATTTCACAATTTGATAATTCATCTCTGCTATTCTCATTTAAATTCAAAGTCCATTTACTTTCATGCAATAGAAATAGGTCACTTGAACCAAACCAAAACCCCTCCCCCCTAATGTGTGTGTGAGTTGTGTGTTTGATACGTTGTGTGTCTTGTTTACTGAATTCTGTTTATTTTCGTAACTGAGCAATAGAAATAGGTCACTTGAACCAAACCAAAACCCCTCCTCCCCAATGTGTGTGTGAGTTGTGTGTTTGATACGTTGTGTGTCTTGTTTACTGAATTCTGTTTATTTTAGTAACTGTTTTGGACTTTTGGTCCGCGTTGTGTTCTTCCATTTTCTGTGCTGAATCCAACCGAGAACGTGAATTTTGGACGTACGGTTGGAAAGTTATAGGCAAAACACTGGACAGAGGTCGAAACTGGAAAAATAGAAAAACGAATCTGTCCAAATGGTGATAAAAGGGTGATAGAAAGTGCTGTTTGTGTTTTTCTCTAGTTTTCTTGTATTGTTTCATTTCTTTTACACTTCTTTACTCATTTTTAGTTTCCATTTTGCATTTGTGGTGTGTCAATTAAGTGTTCTTTACGTACTCAAATTAGAACTTATAGGAAGCCGACAAGTTCTTCGTGGGATCGACCCCGTACTTACATAATCTATACTTCGATAGATCCGTGCACTTGCGGGTATTTTTAATTGGTTGTTTGCACATTAATTTGTGTCCTCTTAGGAATGCAACATATACATGCTTCCATTTTTGGAACTATACATGGAATGCTTTTATATAATGATATCTCTGTTACAAATTGACAATTATTTGCGAGAAAGACAAGATGGCATATCAGTATATCATCAAGTATTTGATTGTAAAAGTTTAACATTGTGATGGCATGGATCCAAGCATATAATGCTTGGTTTGTTAGATATATAAGGAGTGCTATCCTTGTTGTTGCTGACATCTTCTATACTCTAAGCATATGTTAGATCTTCTTCTTGCACATGCTTACTGACGGTCTTGTGTTGATTAGTTGTTCTCCATCAGCACGTATCATAGTCATAAGCTACATCACTTATGCAAACCTGTTCAGTTTCTCCGTGTTATATATAGGAAATGCTTTCCATGCATTAATTGGCAGACAATTTCTATACCTTAAACCTGCTTTCTTGCACTTGTTAGTTATTCAATTGTGCTTTTGACCTACTCTTGAATATTGTGGAATCTTACATGTGCATTATGTGTTTGTGGGGCCATCCAGATTCGAACCTTGTGGGGACAGTACTTCCAGAACACACGAGGTTTTTTTTGGTGATCGATAGCAATGATCGTGACCGTGTTGTTGAGGCTAGGGTGAGCTGTACAGGATGTTGGATAAGGTACTAGAGCTTTAGAAGACTTTGCTATTCTTTTGCCCTTCAGTGAATTTTGAATCTAATAATTAGCGACACTTATTATCTGTATGGTAAGTGTGGTAAGAGGGTTTGAGAAAGGAGTTCTGTAGAAAGAGTTTAGGAATTGATGTTAAGGTAAAGCCATGCTATATACATGAAAAAAATACAAGATCTTCATCAAGGTTTTATGAAATTCATGAATGTGACTTTTAAAAATGTTTAATTTTATGTATATGATTATGTCAGTTCTTAAATATGTTGGATGGATTGAGGGATGCTGTGCTGCTAACAAACAAGATCTTCCAAATGCAATGAATGCTGCTGAGATCAGTTACAAACTTGGTCTCCACTCTCTATGTCAACGTCACTGGTATTTTGATTGATACTCTCATCCTCCTTTCTACGATTTATTTTTCTTCCTCTCACACACACATAGTAATAAAAGCAATGAAGTGTTTGATCAGATCGGATGCATGTGTTTCAGGTACCTCTGGGGAAGGGCTTTATGAGGGTCTTGCTTGGCTCTCGAACAATATTGCAAACAAGGTGGGCTCTCTTGTCTTGTTGGTTCATTGCAGTAAAGAACTTGATGGTTTTGAATATAATGTTTGCTTTGCTTGCATTTACTTTGTTTGCAGAGTTACTTTGGCAACCTCTTGTTTGCGATGTGGAAAAGTCGAATGCTATTATCTTCTGTTTGTGGATTTCTTACAATGTTACTGTCCCAAGAATTCTTCAGGCATTGTATAACCCCTTTCCACAAGTCTCCAAAAATATGCAATGAGAACATCACAAATGAGGGCATGTCACCATCACAAGGAGATAAACATTAAAATTGTGCTTCAATTAATTTTTATTTATTTATTTATTTACAATGTGACATTCTAAACTAATCTAACATACAGGGAAGGGGGTTGCATTTTGTGCAAGGGACGGACATACTACCTTGACCAACTAGGCTACCCCACATATAAAGTTGGTCTTTAAACTTGATGGATAAATGCCTAATTTAGAGTCGTCAATTGTAAATGCCCTACTATCTCGTATCTATCAGCCCATCTGGGTTATACTCAACACAAAACAACTCGATTGCAGAGGGTAGGTAACTGCTCTTAACCACTTGAGCTACGATTCCCTTATCGTGTTATATACTTTTTGATAAATATTAACGTAAAAATAGATTTTCACTCGACAAATACTCCAGTCCACATATTAGCCCTGGTAAATATAAGGCAAAAAGTCACTTTTAGTCCCTGTAGTTTGTCACTTTTACCACTTTGGTCCCTGTCGTTTCAATTTGGTCAATTTTGTCCCTGTAGTTTCAATTTGAAGCAATTCAAGGACAATTCTCAATTTCTGTCAAATTTTTTTAACTTCCATTACTTCTAAAGGGGCAATTCGGTCCATAAATATAAATTAAGAAAAATAAGTTTAAAATAAAAATAAAACCTCTATTTTCCCTTATCCTCAACACCAACACCCACCAAAAGTCCCCAGCAACCACCTCTTTTAACCCAACCACCACCCAAGCCAACCAAGCCTGCCCCAACCTCAAACGAAATCGTGATATGTCCTCGGAAAATCATGATCGGTGGCAAGGGAAGATCGACTTTGTTTTCGGGGAGCTTCTCTTCCAACCAGACGACGTTGCTATTGTTGTTAAGAGAGTGAGAGGCTGCGATTGCGGGATTGAGTGAGGGTTTGAGGGGCAGGGAAGGGCTAAGGAGCACCGGAGAAAACGAGAGAGAGCCAAGTCGCAGTGGAGATCAACAACGCGACGACGAAGATGATGGCGGTGGGCACATGGCTTTGATGGTGACGACGGTTTTTGGGTGATCGGGTGGCGTTGATGTCGTGGTCTTTGGGGTTTGTTGACGGCGTCGTCATCGTCCCCAACGTTCATGTTTGTACACCGATCGCCACATCAAAACCTCATCTCTGTGAATTTGATTAATTAGGGGTTTGGGTTTGGGACATTTGTTCTTTGTGATTTTTTTATTTTTTTATATTTGAAAATTTGAAGCTTTTTTGAATTTTGAAACAGCGAATGTTAACAGAGGCTTAGAGTTTTGGTAAATAGAGAGGTTGCTGTGTTGGTGGTTCTTGTGAAAAGGCGCAAAATCGTGGTTGTACAATTTTGCTATATCGAGGCCTGTTTATGTATCGTTAAGGGTTGGGGCAGGCTTGGGTGGCTAGGTTGGTGGTTGGTTACAGGGAGGTGGTGGTTGGCTGGGGTTGGCTGGGGTGGGGACTGTTGGTGGGCATCGGGGTTGGGAGGAGGAATGGAGAAAGATGTTTTATTTTTATTTTAAAATTATTTTTCTTATTTTAATAATTTGTGGACGGAATTACCCCTCTGCAACTAACGGAAGTTAAAAAAAATTGACAGAAATTGAAAATTGTCCTTAAATTGCTTCAAATTAAAATTACAGGGACAAAATTGACCAAATTGAAATGACAGGGACCAAATGGTAAAAGTGATAAACTACATGACCAAAAGTGACCTTCCTCCAATATCTCAGGCTCACTCCTCAAAGTTTCCTTTTTCCTTTTCTTTTTTGTTTTTGTTTCTAAATAAAACTCGGGGGCGACTTGAAACGACCCTGTCTCTTGGGGAGAAAACTTTGGCGTGGACTTGGGATTCCGTGGATTCGGTGTCCTTCTGTATCCGCGGAAGGCAAGATCGAAAAAGCTTCGGACAATCCAATCCCTGAACAAATCCCGGGACTACAAAATCTCGTAGAATCTTATACTGGATTGTTTGGTTGCGGAAATAGAAATCCCATCTTGTTCTTGTCCTGTTGCTGCATGCTGTGTGTTAATTTCTTGGTTCGTTGATTGGCGAGGAGCTTCTGTATACGACTTTTAATGGGAACTCCGGAGTTTCCAGATCTGGGTCGGCATTGCTACGTCGCCGATTGCCAGCAGATCGATTTCTTGCCCTTCACCTGCGATAGCTGCCATCAGGTCCTCTCTCTTTCTCTTTCTCGTTCTCTGTGAATTATATACCTCCATGTTTATGTGAACATCAAATGTTAAGAAATATGTGCGTTTTGAAATTTTCATTTTGGTTATTGGGATTGAGATTATGTTATGTTTGGTTAGCTTGGAGAATTTGCATTGGATTGGGGTAAGAATTATTATTTCTTGAAAAAAGAAACAAAGGAAGATCCCGAAATAAATTTATCTGATCAAAATTCGAAATTTTGTCCATTTGGAACTGTGCATAACAACATTCTCTGGGAATTTACAAGAAGTTTCCAGGAAATTTCTGGTCTTGCGGTGTGCTCGAGTTACTATTATTGACTTTATCGGGTGATATTGCATTTGTGAACTGTTTTAAATAATGGTACATCATGTTGCATTGCCGTGTATGCTCAAAGTTTTTATATTTATTGACTGTTTACTAGTATTTCTCGAATTGCATTGAAAGTTTTAGAGAAAATAACTGGGAAACATTTTCGAACTAGAAATATTTTTGCTCGCCACTTTAACCCAAGGCGTACCCTCATCACCCTTCTCACCACTTGACACGTGTCCCATAACCATAGTTAACTCTTTGCTTTGGATTTATGGAACTATGGTTATGTCCATAGACATGTGTTAAGTGGAGAGAATGGTGGTGAGGGTAGACCTTGGGTTAAAGTGGTGAGCAAAAATGCTCCCTTTTCAAAATTGACAAACTCATGGTAAAAGGGAAGTGAATTGTATTGCCTAGTTGTGGAATGTTCTCAAAACCTTTTAGATCATTAGTTTTTCTTCTTATTTACTTTTCTATAAAGTAGTGTGATGCCACACGTATATCTTGTGAATTTCACCAAATTTTTATATGCCCTAGATGTATGCTAACCAATCAGAGTTGGGGGTTGGGATGCATTCCATTTGATTCCGTAGTTCTTATTTATGTAGGTTAATACAACGATGTAGTCTTCAATCTTTCTGCGATCATCCATACTCCTAAATTGTAGATTTTATTCTCTTACATTGTTTCTGCTTATTGGGATCATTCTATTTTTTTTATTGACATAAGCCTAACATTTTGCAGGTATTTTGTTTGGAGCATCGAAGCTATATTAAGCATAATTGTCCAAAAGCTGACAGACAAAATGTCACTGTTGTCATCTGTCCCCTCTGTGCCAAAGGAGTTCATCTAATTCCAGATGAAGATGCAAACATTACTTGGGAGAGACATGTTAACACTGAATGCGACCCTTCTAATTATGAGAAAGCCACAAAGAAGAAAAAGTGTCCTGTCCATGGCTGCAAGGAGATCTTAACATTCTCCAACACAATCAAGTGCAGGGACTGCATGGCCGACCACTGTTTGAAGCATCGATTTGGACCTGATCACAAGTGTCCGGGACCCAAGAAACCGACAGCAGGCTTTCCTTTTTCGGGCCTTTTAAGTAGGAGTAGGAAAGAAGTGTCAAAGCCCAACCATGCTCCTGCCGCATCTTCCTCGAAGTGGAGTAATAGCTTTCTTACTGCAGCTTCATCTTTTCGAGCCTCAGCTGAGGCGAGTGTGGCAAAATTGAGTAGTGAACTTAGCCAGAAGTGGCAGATAGCAAAGGATGGAGCAGGGCAGAGCAGCAGCAGTGGGAGTAGAAACGGGCAACTGGAGGAGTGTCCACAGTGTGGTGCTAAGTTTTCCTCAGTCACCACTCTTGTAGACCACGTAGAAAAAGTCCATGAGAAGGGTGGCAACAGAGCTGGGGTGAAGAAAGCGACAATCGATGCCTGCCCTAAATGTAGTAAAGGGTTTCGTGATCCAGTAGCTCTTGTAGAGCACGTTGAGAGAGATCATGGGGGTACATCAAGGACATAGGTATCATTTTTGGAGAAAGTGTATGTATTATCTATTGGGTATAAATTCATTGTTACACTGACAAATGCATGTATCTTTTGAGCATTCAGTCAAATTATTTGTGTTTTAAAATTGAATACAAAGTTATTCTTTTGTGAATACTTTAAATATCACTTGTTGAAAGCCAAATGAGATTTGTGTTATTCCTTTCTTTAGGCTTTAGTGCCTGCAAATAGAATTTAAAGGAAGCTTGGAATTATAGGTAATGAAATTAGAATTGTGGGGGTAATGTTTTATTTCTTTCATGTTTTCCTGCTTTGTCTTGAGGTCATAGGGATACAATGAATTATTCTCTAATAGCAAAATTTTGTTTAGGAACAGGAAAAGTGCTCCTAATTTTGCTTATTTACTTTCACTGTCATTTGTGGCACTAAAATGGATTAGTATTCTTAATCACTTAAACCACAATTTCTTTGGCTGGTGGTTATATAATTTTTTTCTTTCTTTAGTACAAGCGATGCTATAGTTTAAACTACATGAGAGGGGGGTTTCTCATACACGCGCTACCATGATGCTATAGGGGTTCAAACTTGAGATCACTAGGTTGAAAGTCAAGATCCTTTTTCTCTAGGATAAACCCATTTGCGTATACTTTTAGATAAAAATCAATGTAAAATCCCTATAAAATAAGCAATAAACATCTTCGCATCATTACGTATAGATTTTCACCTCCACATAAACTCCAGTCCACACAAGTAAATGCAAATCCTAGTTTTAGAAGCCCCTGGTCTCCCATATCTCAGGAAGAACTTACATGTAGAGGGGATGTGCTGGAAAGTTAGAACACATAGCAATAAGTGATTGGCTCGAACTAGTAGCCCCTCTTATTGTCAATTTAACCCCACCGTTAATTTTTAGCCAATTCCATCCAAATCTCTGTTAAAAAAATCAGGTGAATCCTGTTACCTAATACTCCCCCCTCCTTCCCTCCTGTTCCTAATATCCCTCTCTCAGTTCGCGCCAAATCCAACCATCTTATTATCCCAATCGCTCCCCACTCTAGCTTGACATTCTGATTCTGGGCAACCTTTTCGTCAAGAAAATAGAAAATTAATGGAGTCGATTTCAGGTTCACTGCTCAAGTTTCTTTTTGGCTTTTAAATAAAACTCAGGGGACTTGAAACGACCGGGGAGAAAACTTGGGCGTGGACTTTGGATTCCGCGGATTCGGTGTCCCTATGTATCCGCGGAAGGCAAGACTGAAAAGCTTCAGACAATCAAATCCGGGGCCCAGCAGCAAATTCCGGACTAATAAATCCCGTCGAATTTGGTTGCGGAAATAGATATCCCATCTTGCTCTTTTCCCGTTGCTGCATGCTGTGTGTTAATTTATTTTCGTTGATTGGCGAGGAGCTTCTGTACAAGAATTTGAATGGAAACATCTGGGTCGTCATTGCAACGTCGCCGATTGCCAGCAGATTGATTTCTTTCCCTTCACCTGCGATAGCTGCGGTCAGGTCCTCTCTCTTTCTCTTTGATATGTATTGAATGTTTGGAGCATCTATAACTATAAGCATATAAAAGGGTGAACTGCAAGCCTTCAGTGTTCACCAAACTCCTCTCCAAAATGAGCCAAATCTCAATACAACTTCCCCCTCCACCACCCAACGCCGACCCTCGCATTCTCCACGCCCGAGCCATCACCGCCGCCAACATCGACCGTTCTCTCCGCAACAACCTCATCACTCTCTACTCCAAGTCCAATCTCCTCTCCTACACTCTCCGCCTCTTTCACCAAATCTCTTCTCCCAATGTCGTCTCATGGACGGCCGTGATCTCGGCCCACTCCAACACCCTCTTCGCCCTCCAACACTTCGTTTCCATGCTCCGCCACCCCACTTTCCCCAACCAGCGCACCTTCGCTTCCCTCTTCAAAACCTGCGCTTCTCTCCCTTCTCTCTCCTTCGGCCTTGCCCTCCACTCCCTCTCTCTCAAGCTCGGCGTCTCGGCCCAGCCCTTTTCCGGGTCTGCCCTCATTCATTTCTACTCCAAATGTTGCTTTCCCGTTGAAGCCCGCAAGGTGCTCGATGAAATTCCCCACAAAGACGAGGTTTGTTATGCGGCGGTGATTGTTGGGTTGGCGCAGAACTCGAGACCCGTTGAGGCCTTGTCCACTTTTGCTGATATGAAATGCTCTGATGTTCGGTCTACTATGTATAGTGTTTCCGGTGCACTTCGTGCTGCAGGGGAGCTTGCTGTGTTGGAACAATGTAGGATCATACATGCCCATGCTCTTCTTACGGGACTTGATGGAAATGTTATTGTGGGGACAGCTTTGGTTGATGCGTATGGGAAATCTGGGCTTGTGTATGATGCTAGACAGGTTTTTGATGAGAACTTGTCAAGCATGAACGTTGTGGGGTGGAATGTGATGCTGGCGGGATATGCACAACAGGGGGATACGAACTCGATGCTTGAGATTTTCAATGCAATGGAAGCTCAGGGGCTTGTGCCGGATGAATATAGCTTTTTGGCAATTTTAACGTCATTCTGCAATGCAGGTTTGGTTTCTGAGACTGATTGGTGGCTGACCCGGATGAAGGTAGATTATGGGTTGGAACCAGCGCTTGAGCATTATACGTGTTTGGTTGGTGCAATGGGAAGAGCTGGTCATTTGGAAGAGGCTGAAAGGGCTGCACTGACAATGCCGCTGGTGCCTGACGCTGCAGTGTGGCGATCATTGCTATCAAGTTCAGCGTATCATAAAGCACCTGATTTCACTAGGTCCATGGCTAAACGCTTATTGGAAATTGACCCACATGATGACTCTGCTTATGTAATTGCTGCAAATGTGTTATCAAACGCTGGAAGGTGGGATGAAGTTGCAGAAGTGAGGAAGATGATGAAAGATAGGAGGGTACAGAAGGAAGGTGGAAGGAGTTGGATCGAGGTACGGGGGAAAGTTCATGTCTTTTTCGCCCGGGACAGAAGACATGAAAGAAGGGATGAGATATATGCTAAATTGGTAGAGTTGATGGAGCTGATAGAAAAATTAGGATATGTGCCAGTTTGGGATGAGATGTTGCATGAAGTTGGGGAATGGGAGAAAAAGGAAGCCCTTTGGTATCACAGTGAGAAGTTGGCAGTAGCATTTGCGGTGGTGAGTGGCGCGGCACCACCAGGAAAGTCAATAAGGATTGTGAAGAATTTGAGGATCTGCAGGGATTGCCACGAGGCATTCAAGTATATGTGTAGAGTGTTGGAGAGGGAGATTATTGTGAGGGATGTAAACAGATACCATAGATTCGTTAATGGTAGTTGCACTTGTGGAGATATATGGTAGTTTGTATATCATCCAGTATGTGATTATAAAATTTAACATTGTGATGGCATGGATCCATCCATGCTATCTGGGACGGCATTGCTACGTCGCCGATTGCCAGCAGATTGATTTCTTGCCCTTCACCTGCGATAGCTGCTGTCAGGTCCTCTCTCTTTCTCTTTGTTTGTGAATTATATACTCCATATTTATGTAAACATCGTGAGAAAATATATTTTTGAAATTTTAATTTTGGTTATTGGGATTGAGATTATGTTATGTTTGGTTGTGGAAGAAATGTAGAATTGCATTTCATATTTTGGTGATTCTTGGATGCAATGATTGCATGGTGAAATCGAAAAATGGGTGTTTGTTGATTTACACTGGATTGAGGTGCGAATTATTATTTCTTGAAAAAAGAAAGAGAGGAAGATGCCGAAATGAATTTATCTTATCAAAGTTCAAAATTTTGTCCATTTTTGAACTGTGCATAACAACATTGTCTAGTAATTTACAAGAAGTTTCTAGGAAATTTCTGATCTTGGGGTGTGCTCAAGTTAATTTTTTTTCTTTTAAATAACTTTCTCGGGTGATATTTCATTTCTGAACTCTTTTTTTTTTCTTTTTCTTATGGTACATTAATGTTTATTTTGGATTCATGTTTGATATGTATTGAATGTTTGCTAATATTATACGAATTGCAAATAAAGTATTAAAAATGTTTTACTTTCTTGGTGACAATATGATGTTAAATATTCGCATAAAAGAAATATGATGTTAAATATCAAGGTGCTAAAGTTGTGTATTGGGAATAATATATGCTGCCATTTTCTTATATAATTTTTTTTAAAATTTTTGGTATTACTTGCCTTTTAAATTGATGTTGTCGCTTCATGTATTTAGATTACTCTATAAAACAGTATGTGCTGGAGAAAATAACTGGGGGAAAATTTTCAAAATCGACAAACTGATGGTAAAAGGGAAGTGAAAATGTATTGCCTTTTTGTGGAATGTTTGCAACCTTTTAGAACATTAGTTTTTTTTTTTTTCTTAAATAAATATCTATAAAGTAGTGTGATGCATCACGTATATCTTGCACCAAATTTTGATATGCCCTAGATGTATGCCAACCAAACAGAGTTGGGGGTTGGGATGCATTCCATTTGATTTCTTTGTTCTTATTTACATAGGTTAAAACAACCGTGTAGTCTTCAATCTTTCTGGCATCATCCATCGTCCTACATTGTAGATTATCATTCTCCTGCATTATTTCTGCTTATTGGGATCATTCTGTTTTTTATACTGACATAAGCCTGACATTTTGCAGGTATTTTGTTTGGAGCATTGAAGCTATATTAAGCGTAATTGTCCAAAAGCTGACTGACAAAATGTCACTGTTGTCATCTGTCCCCTCTGTGCCAAAGGAGTTCATCTAATTCCTGATCAAGATCCAAACATTACTTGGGAGAGACATGTTAACACTAACTGTGACGGTTCTAATTATGAGAAAGCCACAAAGAAGAAAAAATGTCCTGTCCCTGGCTGCAAGGAGATCTTAACATTCTCCAACACAATGAACTGCAGGGACTGCATGGTAGACCACTGTTTGAAGCATCGATTTGGACCTGATCACATGTGTTCGGGACTCAAGAAACCAGAAGCAGGGTTTCCTTTTTTGGGGATTTTAAGTAGGAGTAGGAAAGAAGTGTCAAAGCCCAGCCATGCTCCTGCCGCATCCTCCTCAAACTGGGGTAATAGCTTTCCTAGTGCAGCAGCTTCATCTGCTCGAGCTTCAGCTGAAGCAAGTGTGGCAAAATTGAGTAGAGAACTTGGCCAAAAGTGGCAGATAGCAAAGGATTGAGCAGAGCAGAGCAGCAGCAGTGGGAGTAGAAACTGGCAAGTGTTCGCAGTGTGGTGTTAAGTTTTCCTCAGTCACCACACTTGTAGACCATGTAGAGAAAGTCCATGAGAAGGGTGGCAACTGAACTGTGGTGAAGAAGGTGACAATCGATGCTTGCTCTAAATGTAGTAAAAGGGTTTCGTGATCCAATAGCTCTTGTAGAGCACGTTGAGAGAGATCATGGTGGTACATCAAGAGCATAGGTAATTTTTGGAGAAAATGTTTGTATTATCCATTGGGTATAAATTCATTGTTCACACTGATAAATGCATGTATCATTTGAGCATTCAGTTAAATTATTTATGTTTTAGCTGTAAAATTGAATACAAAGTTACTCTTTTGTGAATCCTTTAACATCACTTGTCGAAAGTCAAATGAGATCTGGACCATCCTTATAAATCTTTTCATTTTTTTCTCTACTGGCTAGCTATTCTTCCACCATGGTTAATGAAGTTAATTTTCTTCAATACTTTTATTTTAAATTAATTCATCTTAATTAAAAAAAGCATGACCATAATTAGTGTTTAGTGCGTGTCATAATCATGCCGGGCGGCTTAATTATGTGACAGGAGACACTTGAGTGCTTCCATTTGTCTACCACTTCATTTTGAATTATGCTTCAAAGCTCAATTTGAATTATTATATCTCTACCTTACTTTAAAGAATAGAAAACAATTAGCAACCTAATAATTTTCCTTTATCTTCCTTGATCTTCTTTCAACCTCATCTATTTGTCATCTTTGTTGTTGTCATTTCTATTTCTATTTTCCCTTTGTATTTCTGTTTGTTAAATCACTGAATCAGTTGTGAAAAAGGCCAAGGATCTATATTTCTTTCATTTTTCAACTGTTATTATATTTAACTTCCAAGTATACATTCATTGTCCAAACAAAAAATAAGAGCAAAAAACATTTTTCATCATTTAGGTTAGGCTCGAAAACAAATTTGGTCACCGTGATTTCATTTTTCCCAATTTCATCATCTTATTTTTCTCAATTTCATCATCTTACTTCGCCCCAGCCCAGTTATCAGAACCTGTAAAAGCTCGATTAACTTAGAGGGTTAGAAAAGGGAATTTAGGGTTTACTAAGTGGAAAAAGGGGGCTTGATTCTCAGTCAAAATTGATTCGATTTAAGTTTGATTCGGGTTCCTTTGTAAAAAGCTTAAGAGTTCTAGAACGTTAATAGAGCGAGGATTTGAACACAATCGGATGCAAAGAGGTTCTTATGGCCAAATTTTTAAAGAAATCAAATTGACATCGTTTAAGAAAAAATATTTGAAACCACTGTAGAAAAAATATAATACGATAAAGGTAAATTAGTAAAATTAATAAATTGATACAAAAATCAATTGCAATGGAGAAATTTTAGAAATATATCAATATTGCCAAGAAGAAAATATATAGTCCCAGTCTTTTTCTTTTTTTTTTCTTTCTCATTTTTCCCATTCAGGTAAATTAACTGTCAAAAGTCGTTGAAAAAAAAAAAAAAAACAAGAAGAAAATTAATTGTCGAAAGAGAGCAAGCAATGCATAGCACGTCTGTCATCAGAAAACGTTATTATATAATGCAGCCACGTAGGCACGGGCCCCACAAATCGAACAGTACTAGTAATCTAGCTACCAACCCCTAGGGCCCACAAGTTCAACCGTTAAAACGTGTAGACGTTTTTTTTTTCAGTATCATTATTGGCAGGCTGGACGGATATTATTTTGAGTACAAATTCAAATTTAAAACAAAAAAGGGAAGACATATAAGAAATCGCGGTGGAATATGCTGGAATTCCGGTGGATTTTCTGCATGGCATAAGGTGGATTTTCCAGCCTCAGGTCTGCTCTTGCAGGCATTCAAACGAGGTAATTTTTTCTCAACAATTAAATTCTGTACAAATTGATCAAGTTTGTGATGAGTTTTGGGTTTTCTCTAGGGACCCTTTTGGTTGAATTTTGAACCCACTTTGGCATTGCATTGTTCTTGAGGTTTTGATTGGTTTTTGAGGTTTGTGACTTGGGGATTTTGTTAATCTCAGGCTGGTTTTTGTACAATTTGAGAGATACCCATCTCAGTTTTTGAGCCTTTCTTTCCCTTCTCTGCACCCAGAGCTTTCCTCATAGATTTGGAAGGGAAAGAAAGGCCAATTTGTGGGGTGCCCATTTTCATATCTGTGTGAAGTGAATTGTATGTATCTTGAATTCAAAAATGAGTGCCGTTTCGGGGGTACTTTCGCGCCAAGTTTTGCCTGCTTGTGGTGGCCTTTGTTTCTTCTGCCCGGCATTGCGGGCCAGGTCTAGACAGCCCGTCAAGAGGTACAAGAAGCTCATAGCTGACATTTTCCCTCGTAACCAGGTTCGTTTTTCTCCTTTTTTTATCATAATGGGTTACTGTTGCATTCTATCTTAAAAGGGTCATTGCTACTTGTTTCTAAGTTCGTTCTTGTTATTGTTGCCTACTTTTTGTGAAGAGAGACTCTTCCAGATGATAATGTATGTCATGCCTATGTGCATTTTTGTGGGTTTGGAAAAGTGTTGATGTTGTAGTACATATTTAGTCCTTTGATAGATGTTGGACTTATGCTGTGCAAATGCAACCATTTGACATTAAAATCCAAGTAATGTTTTTCCCTCAGTGAACTGAAATTGAGAGGAAGGTTCTTTATAACTTGCTTCCAACCATTACATAATTTAAACTAAAATTATAACATCGTAATGTGTAAGTGGTACTTGAGTTAACTGAATGATTGTCTGCCCATTCATTTTGTATGTGTTAGCCTATATATCTATTTAATACCATGTTGGAAATTGGAAACAGGGTCTAGTCATCTCAATTCCTGAATTAATTGATGAGCAAGAACCTCATTTTGAGTAAAATGCATATTGTGTAACGTCAGAACACAATCATGTAGACAGATATCTGATAACTGATTGAAAACGGTGTATCAGCTAGTGTTGTGTGCCATGTGCAGCTGAATTGAGAATTTATGCAGTATGCATCGTTGTCTAGTAAAGACTCGTATTGCATAACTTCAGATGATAGTGATTAAATAAATGCTGAAACTGATTATGACTCTGATAACTGATTGAAAACCCAGTCTCTGCTATTGTTTTATGCCATACAAGGTGAGCTGAGACTTAGAAAAAAACTTCTTTTATTAAAATATTCTTTGACTTCATAACACAGTCCTGCATATGATGTTAAATGTTTATGGCTCTGGCAATTGAAAATAGAGTTTCATAATCCTTTTGTGCCATCTCGTTATTAAGTGTAGACCTTATGCATGATGTGTTGATGGTGTTCTGTTTTTGTGTTTTCAAAGTTTTGATTTTTATCTTCCTTTTCACATTATGATATGTTTCTCATGAATATAATTCTTATACACTAAGGTGTAGTTTAGAATTTTTTTAAAAAGGTGAAAGGCACTGTCACGTGGTATACAAAAAGAAAACTTGTTGGTTGCATTGTACATGAGTTTTTTTTTAAAAAAAATTGTTTATAGAAATTTCAAATCCATGCCTTTCAGACTCAATAAAGAATAATTTACTTTTTTTTCTCTTCTTGATAAATACTTGTTTATTAAATCTTTTTTTCTTTTCGTTCTTTTCGTTCTTATTCAACTTACCTTAGCAAAAATTCTCTGAGATCATTATGCAATAACATATGTTTTTTTTTTGTTACTCCATTTAGGGGAGCACACACTTCTTCTTTTTGTTTTGGTCAGAACCCATACTTCCTTGATTGACAAATTCTATGGTTAGAAGCCATCAACTTTATTTCTTTGGATCCTTTACAAATATGAATATTCCGAGATTGTCTTCCTGGTTTTGTGCCATTGCACTGAATTTAGTGATTGAGCATCCTGGTCTTCTGGCTTTTCTTAAAAAATGTTGTTTCATTGAGCGTGATGCATCTAAATTCTTCATGACAGATGTTTTACAAGTATGATTCAATTTGTTTGATTATGCATTTTTGAAATCGATGTTTTTTTCACTATCCTAGTGATCTGTGTCCCTTCTCCATTTATTATTCTGCCCCAAATTTTTTATATTTATATCAAGATTCAGGACTTGTTCTTCACACTTGACAGGAAGAAGGACCAAATGATCGGAAGATTGGAAAATTATGTGAATATGCAGCCAAAAATCCTTTGCGAATTCCGAAGGTATAAATGATATCATGTAAATCGTTACTCTAATATGTCTTAAGCTAGGCCTTTTTTCTCAATCAAACGTTTCACTAAAATATATATATTACTTTGAGTGCTCCTAGCATATAACTTAGTTAACTCATAATAACTCTACAAAATGATTACTGTAGTAATTTAATTGATAATAAGTTTCAAAAGAAGAGAGAGACAGAGAGACAGAGAAAACATCAGGAAAGAATTAACCAAAAGAGTTGAGGGAAAAGAGAAACTAAGGTGTACGTGTTGCAACTTGGCATGTATGCATGTAGTTATTAGTAAGTCAAAAAAGACTGTGTGTGTGTGAGGAAAAATATGGTGTATGCATTGAACGCATGTAGTTACTATTAACTCACAATATACTCTCTCTCTCTCTCTCCTTCTCTTCATAAGTGTATATACTCTCTGTGTGTGTTTCCTGAGGGCTATGGCAACATGTCTGAAATGTATTCGTTAACGGAAGACTTATCCATAGTGAAAACGGACACTTAGGAATTGCAAAGATAAAAGCTATCATACAACAAAGATGTGGATTTCAGATCAGTTACTGCTATTGAATTTGAGCAAGGGTTAAACCTTTTATATTATTTTACCTTCTTTTCTTTCTTTCTTTTTCTCTCTCTGGTGTTGGCCTATGGATTCAAAGCTTTTTCTTGCACCAAATACGTGATATATTTCACCTTGCGATAAATTTTGAATAACAATTTAGCCTTGCTTTCTGCATAGAGTGAAATATCTTTTGTAATTATAGTATTTCCCAGGAGCCACATCTTACAGATTTCTCTTAAGATCACTTTATGATTAAGCCCCGTCTGCTGATAAATACTTCAAGCATTCTTTCTCTTTTGACTAAAGTTGTAAATTGTGTGAGCAGATCACAAATTTTCTTGAGCAAAGGTGTTACAAAGAATTGCGGAATGAGAATTTTCGCTCCACAAAAATTGTCATGTGCATCTACAATAAATTGCTGATTTCTTGTAAGGAGCAAATGTGAGTTCTCTCCCATTCTTAATTATATTTTTGTGTGAATCTGGGCCATTGAGGAGGAATCATATGTCTGAATGTGCGGTTCTAATCCACATTCTAGCAGGATAAAATGCCAACTATCTGGAAAGATATCACTCTCTCTCTCTCTCTCTCTATTTATACGTATGTATATATGTGCATATATTTTTGTGTATTGATTTTATTCAATGACTTTTCATAGGCGTCTCTTTGCGAGTAGCTTACTCAGCATTATGCATACTCTGCTGGATCAAACACGACAAGATGAAATGCAAATTATAGGATGTCAGACCCTTTTTAACTTTGTAAATAATCAGGTTTGTGGGTTTGTAAATATACTTTTCTATTTAGTCATAAATCACTGGATACTAAGCTTCACATGTAATTTATTACCATGTTGCCTACATAAAATTCCAAACTCAATTTGTCTCACTGAATTTTGCAGAAGGATGGAACTTACATGTTTAATTTAGAAGGCTTTATTCCAAAACTCTGTCAGATAGCTCAAGAGCCAGGGGAAGATGAAAGAGCAAACAATCTATGTTCGGCTGCGCTGCAAGCCCTTTCTTCAATGGTATTTCTTTAATATTACGTATGTTGTAAGCTTAACATTATACCTTATCAATAAGTTTATGACATGTTGAATGCATGTGAGGTTCAGAATGCAAAATGCTATCAGTAGTCCTTATATTTAGCAATTTTATCCCCTTTACCATGAACAATGAATTCCTGTATATTATTTACCTGTTCAAGCTGTTAAAAGTAAAATAATATAATGATACTCTGTTGGCAATTTATGCCTTTCGCAACATTTTTCCCAACGATGGACCCTATATATCTAATGCGAAATTAAATTGTCTACCTTTTCTTTGTAGGTTTGGTTTATGGGTGAGCACTCTCATATATCAGTTGAGTTCGATAATGTAAGTGCATTGGAAGTTTCTTAAATCTTGTTTCAACTTGCAAGTAATCTTGGTATAGTCCTCTTGACATTGTTTTTTTCCCTTATATTAAATCAGATTGTTGCAGTAATCTTGGAAAATTATGGAGGTCCTAAATATCCTTCAGAGAACCTTGAAAGTTCCAAGAGCCGGTGGGTGCAGGAGGTGCGAAAGAATGAGGGTCATGTTTCTCCTTCACCAGATGTCAAAATCAATGTTCCTTCTTGGAGCTCCATTGTGGATGAAAAAGGCGAACTAAATGTGAAAGTGTATATCTCTATTGGCACAAGATTTTTTCCGATACCTTTTTATTGTTTTTTCAATATGCATATCAGTTATTTATGTTTCTTTTCTTATCCTATAGAGAAGATGCCAAGAACCCCTGCTTTTGGTCAAGGGTTTGCCTGCAGAACATGGCAAAGCTGGCCAAGGAGGCTACAACAATAAGGCGTGTCCTGGAATCTGTGTTCCGTTACTTCGATAATGGAAATTTATGGTCTCCTGAACATGGTCTTGCCTTTCCAGTCCTAAAGGATATACAACTTTTGATGGATACTTCTGGTATTTAATTTTAATTTTTTATGCATTATTTTCAGGTCCTATCAGCTCTTTCAACCATAAATGCTGTTCCTCTAGTCTTCCATTGATAACTTATCCAGCCTTTTTAATCTCTGGTTGTTGCAGGGCAAAATACTCATGTTTTGCTCTCCATTTTAATCAAGCATCTTGATCACAAAAATGTCCTTAAACAACCAAACATGCAGCTCGACATAGTGGAGGTTACCACCTCCCTTTCTCAACTTGCCAAAATTGAGCCCTCTGTGGCAATAATTGGTGCAGTAAGTGATGCCATGAGGCATTTGAGGAAGAGCATACACTGCTCGCTTGATGATGCTAATCTGGGAACAGATGTAATAAAATGGAACAGAAGCTTTAGAGAAGAGGTGGATAAGTGCCTTGTACAGTTATCATATAAGGTAAGGTAATACTAATCTGCTACAGTTACTGAATTAACCTCGTACCCACAAATCCGTCATCATGTAAAGTTTTGATTTAGAATTGCTTTCATTGTTAGTGGTCTTATCATTTCAAATAGTTTAATAGTCTTTATAAGTTTCCATATGCTCAAATTTCACTGAGATTGTTACTGAATTTATCAACTGTACAATAACAAAGCTGTCATTGTCAAACAGGTTGGCGAACCAGGGCCAATTCTTGATGCTATGGCTGTTATGTTGGAAAATATCTCGACTATTACAGTTATAGCCAGAACTACAATTTCTGCTGTTTATCGTACTGCTCAAATTGTAGCTTCCATACCCAACTTGTCCTATCAAAACAAGGCAAGTAGTATAATGTATTGTCTTTTACTTAATTGTCTTTCTGAGATACTTTCAATCTTATAAATAATTTTTAATTTATTTATTTATAATTGTTCTTTAGGCTTTTCCTGAGGCATTGTTTCATCAATTACTCCCAGCTATGGTCCATCCAGACCATGAAACACGTGTTGGAGCGCATCGTGTCTTCTCTGTTGTTCTTGTGCCATCTTCAGTTTGCCCTAGTCTATCATCATCCAATACTGAATCAAAAAAGGCCTTGGATTTTCCGAGGACACTCTCAAGAACTGTATCTGTATTTTCTTCTTCAGCTGCCCTTTTTGAGAAGCTAAGAAGAGAAAAAATTTCTTCGCGGGAAAGTATTTGTGAAGACAGTGATGAAAATGTTGTTAATGAAGGGGAACAAAGAGACACCAATAATGGGATTCTGAGCAGATTGAAATCATCTTATAGTCGGACATATAGCTTGAAAATTTCGCCTGCACCTTCAACACCAAATGAAATTTCTATGAGCAATTCGATCAAGGAACATGTGAGTTTTAACAATTTTAGTTTCTTTACTTTTTCTTTTCCGTAAAACTTATGAAATTCTTAACCATCTTCAATGTACTTATCTAGTTTGCATGGGGCTTACAGTGAAATTACTTTGTTTATTGAAGAAGGTTGGGTATTTTTAATTAAAAATCAGAATTATATTGAAACCTCCAATCTTTCTGTCTCTCCATGTGCCGAATGGGGTTGCACATGAGGGAAAGGGTGCTAGCTTGATATACATTGTTGGCATTTCCTAATGATTTTGTGTCTTTGCATTTGTTAAACCTCAGGAAGCCAATTCCCTCAGGTTGAGCAGCCACCAGATAACTCTCTTGCTTTTATCAATTTGGGCACAATCCCTCTCTCCTGGGAACATGCCCGAAAACTATGAAGCAATTGCTCATACGCATAGCCTCGTATCACTTTTCTCACGGGCCAAGGTAATTTCTAGAACAATGTTACTTGATTAGTATTTTCTATTATATATGTTGGCGATGCCTTTTCTATGTTCTTTTCTTTTTATGGTGATTTCACTTAGTTGGAACTCCATATATTTTGCATGTTTGCATTATGTCTTGTTACTGCTTAATACATCTAGAAAATTAATTTCTTTCAAGCAGGGAACATGAGGACGGCTAATCATCCCTTTTTCCTTTTTCTGAAGCCTCTTTTTAACTGGAACTGCATTAAAATGTTACAGGCATTTTGTTCATTTCAGTCTGTCTGAAATATTAAGTGCCTTCTTTTGTTTTTTGTTCTTTTTCTTCAGAATGTCTTTAATTGATTCTGTATCGTCTTAGTCGCATTTTTTCGGACTTAGGGACTAGTAAAGGATTCTTCCATAGACTTCCAGTCATATGCCATGGCACCTCGCAACAGTTGGGGTAGCTTTGGTTATCATGCAATTGCAATAGAATGAGAGATGACATTCTATTTTCATAGATTAAACGGGGAAAGTAAAAGAAGAAAAGAAAACCTTGTCATTTTGTTTGAATATTCAAAAACATTCTGAAGAGTTAATGCCTTTTGATATGATATAGATGGAAAATGATAACATAACTTCTTTGATTACCACAAAACCCGTCTTAGTTCCTTGCTCACTTGAAGCTCATGATTTTTTTTTTTCAAAACTGCTGCTAACTGCTTTATAAGCTTCACAGCTCACCTACCACCCCATAGGTCATTGTGCTATGTGGTTAAGAGGGTATTGTCATCAGGGGAAAACTCTGATTCTAAAGTATTTGGTAGAAATAGAACCATGTGACTATAATTTCATTTTTCAGAGTTTCACTGCTATTATGAATTCATGGATGACTGGAGAACTTTTGCCAATTCTATAAAGAGATGCTGGGACTTTTTCTTTTTTTCCCTTCGTATCTGTTGCCTTGTTTTCCCTTTTTTTCGTTCCTCTTATTGTTCATCTTTTTTTGCAGCATTCCAGTGTCGAGGTTCTTGTTCAAAGTTTCCAGTTAGCATTTTCCTTGCGGGACATATCTCTTACTGAAGGAGGTGAGCCCCACAGTCTGCCCAAACTAAATGCATGCTTTCTATGCATGTGTTTCCATTAATGACAAGATACCATTATTTGTTGTTTCCATTTACTAATATTAATTAGCTAGAGAAGAAAACATGAGAAACCCTCAAACTAAAGATAGATGTATATAAAAGTAAGTAGAACATTAGTTATAGCCCAGATGACATGGTTACACCAGGGAACTTTTGTTTCTAAAATTTTTCAGAATCAAGTTCTGACAACTTTGAACTCAGTATTAGCATTTGAACAAGTTCTGCTGATTCTTTTTCTAGTTGTATGTCAATCGGTTTAGGATAAATTTAGGCTGACCCCTTTCCCTAATCTATACTTTATAATGGAGGACAATGATTGCTCCGATACTGAACAGCTGTAGGGCAATGACTGCTGTTATACCAAATTGATGTAGCATAGAAATTGAGGTCAAGCATGCTCACAGTATTTCTTGTATCAATATGCCAAACTCTCCCTAACCTTTAAGAATGCCTCTATTAACATAACTAACAACGAAACAATAACAATAATTTTTGGTAATATTATTAGGTTGTAATCATAATTATTACTATTATTAATAGCCAAAGTATTATACATATAGCCGAGACTCCAATTCTACTAATAAAAAAATATAATTAATTTCTACTCTTCCACCTATGTGCAAAATAATTACTATTTCTTCTTGCGCCCATTGCCATATTGAATTCCTGAAATTTTGAACAAGCTTGACTTTGCATGATTGGGATGTCAGATCAAGCAACTTTCCCTCTTTCATTTCAGGGCCATTGCCACCATCGCGTCGCAGGTCCCTCTTTACCCTGGCAACATCAATGATTCTCTTTCTATCAAAAGCATACAATATTCTTTCTCTTGTTCATAGAGCCAAGGCATCACTTATGGATAAAACGGTATGTGGTATATTGTAAATAAAGCTTATAGTTTTTTCACATAGGTTGCCTTGTATGTGATTTTCTGAGGTCCCATAAGATCTAAATTCTGTTTAAGAACCATTTTCTTGCATATGCTTGTGATTTATTGCGTAAATTAATCAATTCCAAGCACATGGAAGACACAAAGAAAGTGAGCCAGTACTTATGGTTTCTTTTTATGTGAGATTTCCGTAATTAAACATCTTCCTAGCTCAGGAAATAGATTTGAAACCATTATATTCTTATTCAGGTTGATCCATTCCTACATTTGGTTGAAGATCGCAAGTTGCAGGCTGTTAAGACTGGATCTGACCATCCCACAATTGCTTATGGATCTAAAGAAGATGATAATTTGGCCTTAAAATCTCTATCAGAAATAGCGATCACTGAAGAGCAAACAAGGGAATTCTTTGCTTCTCAAATTGTGAAGAGCTTGGACAAATTGTCAGATGTAAGCTTTTATACCAATTGATTTAAGCGACTTCGACTGCCTTTTGATAATAAAAGAAAACAAAAGTCATTTGTACTATAACATCGATAATGAATAGGGAGCTATTATGCAGTCTGAACTGTCTACTATAAGGGAGCAGCTGGTCAGTGAATTCTTACCTGATGATGTGTGTCCACTGGGAGCCCAGTTGTTCATGGATGCGCCGCAAAAGTTATATCAGGTTGATTTGAGCAATAGTGAAGCTATTAAGGAGGTAATTTCCCTGCATAGCTTTCAATTCTCTTCATTCTTTTCTTTTTTTTCCTCTTTTCTTTGTTGGTAGGGAAGATCCTATGTCTTGTGTGTGAGGGTGGTAACTATTACATAAGCGTTGAGCTTAAGATGGGAGTCAATCAACTTATTTATCTAAAAAGTTTTCTTAATACTTGGGACTCATAAGTTTATTCTTGTCATGCAGGATGCTCCAATATTTTCTTTGGATGATGATTCTTTTCCAGGTTCATTTGATAGCCAAAAGAACAACTCTGTGAATCTTCCTGATCTTTTGAGTGTCAATCAACTTATGGAATCAGTATGTTAGCCACTACATGTTTTTTATTTAGCTTTTATTGATTTGAAAGAAATGTAGCCTTTTGTTGGTTTGTTAATCAAGCAAAATTCAGAGAGAGGGAGGTACATGATGACAATATTTTGAAAGCATGCTTTATGCACTCAGGTCCTGGAGACAGCACAAGAAGTTGGAAGGATGTCAATCTCAAATGCACCTGATGTGCCTTACAAGGAAATGGCCGGCCACTGTGAGGCACTCCTGATAGGAAAGCAGCAGAAGATGTCCAGTTTGATGAATTTCCAACAGAACCAGGAATATTTGATGAACCTATCTTTACAAAATCGTAACGATGATGTGAAATGGATGACGTCCGATTTCCAAGCTGATGCCGGTTCCCATAAGGTACTTCCTGGCTTTAACTTAAACTATGGGTACTTGTGCTATATCAATGTATATATCTATGCATACCAAGCACGTGCTCTGGCGGGAATTTTGATCTGCATGCAAACTAATTCACACCATTTCTCTCTCTGTGAAAATCTAATATCATGAACTTGAATGAAATGCAGAGCGGTAATCCCTTTGCTGATCAGACTGCCACTTCATACATACCACCCCAAACCCGAGGCTGTGTCCCAATGATGTGTGCAACTGAGTACCAGCAACATCCCCACTCCTTCAGACTACCGGCATCAAGTCCATATGATAACTTCCTAAAAGCTGCAGGTTGCTGATGAAAGGAAATTTTTGGTAATCCAGTGAATTTAAAATGCTCAAGGATTACCGGCTTTAGGTAAAAAAAATTTATAGCTTTTCCTTCCTTTTTTAGGCTTTGTTACTTAAGGAAGAGATTGTTGTCACCAAAGATCCACCAAGTTTTTAACCCTTTTCGTTTCCAATTCTTTCATTCTTTTCATTTTCCCAACATTTAGTAGTTGACTGTACCATTGGTCTTATGAAGTTCTCGTAGCCTTGTAGACTTTCTCGTTACTGATTCGATCGGTTTTGATATATAAAATTTCATTTATTTGTTACTTTCAATTGTCACTGTGGAGCTGTATGCGATTTGCAAACTTCACTGCTACCCAGTCACAAGACATGTCTATAGTTCTCACTTGGGTTTCTTCTATAGCTCACTATGAACATGGAGCTATATTTCTTGCCATATCTTTACTTGCAATGTATACAAGTGCTATTTGTCACTTGCAATTATTTGACGGAAAGTTTGATGAAAGTGAACTTTGATACAAAATGGGAACATAACATGAAGTTTGGGTGGTTAATTGTAGAACATTTTGGTCCATGTGGGGCTTGCACAAAACTGAAAAGGTTCAGTGGTACTGGGGCTTGCACCTAGATCTAAGATTTTTTTTTTCTTATCTTTTTCACTCCTTCTCTTTAATTTCTAGGTTGTATTCTCAAACAAGGTTTTACTCAATATCACTCTACTGCACTTGCTCGTGCATTCTGCTCCTGCCTCAGATACAATCTTTTCTTCGTTGTTTCTGGTTGACTGAAATGCTCTGGCCTCCACTCTTTTTCTGGGCTTCAATGAAATGCTAGTAATTAAATAAAAAATAAAAAAACAAAAGAACAATGATGCCACATAACGCATCTGGAGGGGGGTTCAAAGTGAATGGAAGAACTATGGTGGGTTTCAAAGTGAATGGAAGAACAATGATGCCACATAACGCATTGAGTTAAATGGTTTCATAATATTTAGTTATTGCAATTTAAACAACATTTTTTGGCCCTTTTAGTCATTATAAATAGTTCACGTACTTTTACACAAAAATTTATCAAATACTTGTAAACTAATTATTGTATCATCATCGCTTTTTAACAAAAAATTTACCAAATACCAAACTGATTTATTCATGAAAAAACAAAAAGGATTTTCAATACTAACAGCTTTAGTATTTTAGATTAGGTGCCAAAAATAACTAACATGAATTACATTTTTTGTCACAGTAGTTTGACGTATTTTTCACATTGGTCCATGTTATTTCGATTTTAAAAATTTGTCATGTAATTTGGTTTCAAACAAGTCCAAATCATACCACGGGTGATGTGGCTGTTGGGTTTTGGGAGTTTACAATCCTTATGGATCTATTGTCTGACCATATGAGTATGATGCGATTTCGCCCCCATTCTCGCCGGTCGGTTCTTTCGGGTGTCTTTATGGAACCCATGTTCTTGTGGTTGCGGTGGTGATGAACTTGGCAGCAACGACGACGGCTGGTGTTTTTTTAACCTTCTTTGGTAGGGTTGCTAGGGTTTGTGGTAATATTGGGCTTTTGGTTTTATTTTATTATGTTGTAATATATTGGACTAGAGCTTTTATGTAATGATCTGTTTCTTTTTAATGAAACTTATCCTAACAAAAAACAAAGTCCAAATCATATACTCTATCATATTAACAAATGAAATTCAATGTGGCCATATAATTACCGCATGGAATTATTATATTCGACGCAAAATAGTATCGATTTGTCTATATCATTTAATCATTTTACAGTTTTGATTGTTACCTAAACAAAACTACATGAGTAAGCTAAAATGGAAATAATGAGGACCATAGTGGAAAATAAGTCAAATTACGGGATTAAAAATGTTATTCGGCCAATAACTAATATATATATAATTTTTTAGTATAAGTGATAGTCTAAATTACAGGGTAAGGGGTCTCTCACACACACAACTAAGATGTTATTGGGGTTCGAACCTGAGAACTCTAATTTACAAATTAAGACTCTGTTTCACTGGGCTAGACCCCTATTAGCGCCAATAACTAATATAAATTAATATCAATGTGTATTACATCATTTGTGAACCATGCAACGACATAAACAACTCTCACCCATCTTTTAGTTAGTACATTCTCAAATTTGTGTGATGCCACGTGCCTGGGCAACAAACTTATACAACTCGAAATTATGACCGCAATGTAGAAATTCGTATGTATCTTTGTAATCGAAGAATGTGAGTGCAATGCACAATC